ACCAACCTCAAGGAGAAAAGCAAGCTAAGCCTAAAGTTGGCGGATGGAAATAGTGATGATGAGAAAAGAAATAAGACAATTGAAAACATAAAAATGAAACTAAGTTTTTTTAAAGATAGAATAGTCAAGTATTTAAATTGATAAAATAAAAAATGAAGGGCAAATAAAATCATCTATGTAATGAGACATTGCTACTGATAAAACAGAAATATAGAAGAACATAAGAGCATATCTTATGAATAATTATATGACAACAAATTTGATGAGCTAGAAAAAACAGGATACATTCCTAGTCACATACAACCTACTAAGACTGAAACATTAAAAAAGGAAAATTTGAAAAGACCAATAATGAGTAAAGAAATTGAAGCAGTAATTAAAAATCTCCCAATTAAAATGCAATAAACTAAATATTCAATGTGGAAAATAAAAATTGGACTGCTGCTTTTATATTTGAATACAAAACAAATAGAAGCTGCTAGAATATTCATCATCATAATTGAATTGTTATGCTATTATTAAACAAAATAGGAAAAATAAATTAGGAAAACAATTCAATTGAATATAGTTTCAGAAAGTATAACACACTTAGGAATAAATTTAAGAACTCCAAGTTTCATCTATTGAAAAGTTGATAAAATTTTTTAAAGAAATTAAAAATCTAGAAAGCAGAAAGACATACACATTTATAGAATACATAATATCATTATTAAAATTGATACATGCTTCAACATGAATGAACCTCAAAAATATTATACTAATTGAAAGAAACCAGTGACAAGAGTGCACTTGGTGTATGATTCCCTTTGTATTAAATATACAGAATAAATACACAGAGACAAAATGTAGATTAGTGGTTACTTGGCATTGGGATGGTGGATATGGTGTGCTAATGGGTATGAAGTTCATTTTTGAAGTGATGAAATGTTCTAAAATTAGACTCTGGTACTGCTTGAACTCTGTAAACATTAAAAATGACTGAATTATATACATTTAATGTGTAAATTCTATATTATATGAATTGCATCTTAATAAAATTGTTTAAAAATGGTCCCTGCTGACTCTACCTACTCAACTCAGATTATCATTACTTTTTAAAAAACTTGAATAATTTCCAAAGAATTATTTTGACCAGATTATTCAATCTTAATGGTCCTCATTTTCCTCACATACAAATATAATTTGTGTTAGTATAGGATGCTATGTTCAAAGTTTCTACAGCTACTAAATTTTCATATTTATTTTAAAAAGCATCAAAGCATGTAAGTTCTGAATAAATTGAGACATAACTATTAAAACACTTTTACTGTACTAATGGGTATATAGTACATTTGTAAAGTGCTTTTTAAAAGAAGACAAAAGTGTTCTACTTATATTGTCTCTTAAGACCTTACCAGGGATGGGAATGCAGCTACTTATCAAACTAAAGTAATAGTGAAAATCAATCCCATATTTGTACCACCTGTCTTCTAGGATGCTTCAATATCTTCAGATAGATGATTATTAATAAATTTAATTCATAACATGACTCATGAGAAACAGGTGGTCTGACACAGAGGTAACATAAAAAGTGAATGGCACTTTGGAGATTAATATGATTGCATTCTGGCTCCATCAGTGAGGTTAGCCTGGAAAGCTTCTGAAATGGAGCAGATCCATGGTATCCTGGTTGTCACCTCCTACCAGTTTGTTTAATACCTTAATACCACTGAAATCCTTAAGATGCTATTCCCAAGAGTCCTCACAACTGAGCTGATTTCAACTTGTTAGTATACTCTACAATTTCCTTCAATTGTATTCTTTCTCTTAGATAGCTTCTGACCAAACTATTCTCCAGAAATAGAATCTTGGCTTGAAGATTACCAGTTTATCAAAGGGCAGAGGTAGATATTTCTGTTATATAGTCCCAGCATCAGAATCTCAAGAGAACTGCTTGTTTGCTTATAGCTTCACAGCTAGATAATTTGCCAAGATGAGCATAGGATTTATTTTGTCCTGGTGCAAGTGTTGGTAATGCACCTTCATCAGAACATGGAAGGATAATCTTTTTTTAAAAAATTAATTTTTTATTTATATGTCACAGCAGAATGTATTACAATTCTTATAACAATTTAGAGCACAATTTTCCATCTCTAGTTGCATACAAAGTATATTCACACCAATTCATGTCTTCATACATGTACTTTGAATAATAATGTCCATCACATTCCACCATGATATCTAACTCCATGCCCCCTCCCCTACCCTCCCACACCTCTGCCCTATCTAGAGTTTGTCTATTGCTCCCATGCTCCCTCTCCCTACCCCACTAGGAGTCAGACTCCTTATAGCAGAGAAAACACTCGGCATTTGGTTTTTTGGGATTGGTTAACTTCACTTAGCATTATCTTCTCTAACTCCATCCATTTACCTGCAAATGCCATGATTTTATTCTCTCTTATTGCTGAATAATATTACATTGTGTACATATGCCACATTTTTCCCCATTCATCTACTGAAGAGCATCTAGGTTGGTTACACAGTTTAGCTATTGTGAATTGTGCTGCTATAAACATGGATGTGGCTGTGTCCCTGTAGTATGCTGTTTTTAAGTCCTTTGGGTACAGACGGAAGAGAGTGATAGCTGTGTCAAATGGTGGTTCCATTCTCAATTTTCCAAGAAAAAAATCTCCATACTGCTTTCCACATTGGCTGCACCAATTTGCAGTCCCATCAGCAGTGTATGAGTGTACCTTTTTTCCCCACATTCTTGGAAGGATAATCTTCACGTACTCCACTTCATCTGGCTGCCTTGGTTTCCCCAAATCTCAACTAAGAGAAAGGGCAAAGTGATCTACCAAGTGTTCTCTGCAAACACCCCACCATACTCTCTCAGATAAAGTTGGCTTGAGGAGGTCTAGAATAACATAAACAAGAATATTGCCTTTTAATAGCTATGATGAGGGTGGTATCTAACCTCCAAGTGTTCTCTCAGCAAGTACTAAATGCTATTTCGTACTCAATTACCCTGTGATAATTGTGGGCTTTGCAATATTTTACTTGAAGTAGAATGTAAAGACTATTAGAGTTTCATTAACTTTCAAATCGTGAATTCATATGCATAAGAAAGTTTTTGTGTCAGGGAATATACAAAGAGCCTTACACAGATTGTATCATTTCATGTTACAGGTTTTCTGTGAAGTAGTCATTATGAAACCCCTTGACCAAATGTCAAAACTATAATATAGACAGCTTAAGTTAGTTGCATGAGGTCACACTTATAAAAAGTGGCAGAGCCTGTGTATGAATCCAGGTTTGTTCAGGCTCTAAGTACATGCTCTAAATAGTTATTCCAGGGTGTCTTTCTTTTAAGGATATTATTATTCAAAAAGCAATCTCTAAGTGTTTTTGCACTTACAATATTCTTTCATAAAAATTTGATTCCATAAAAGTTCTGTCAGAAAACAATACAGACTATAAAATTCTAAAACCAAAGATTAAATTATTTGTAAAGGAGTTATAAGTCTACGAAAAAGTTAAAAATTAAACTCTGTTTTCTCAGGCCTTCTAGTAATTCAAATAGATTTGAAATAATTATACTGTATGGAAAAGGAGAAACAATAAAATATGAATAATACACTTTCTGAGTTGTACTCCTGATTCTTCATTTCCCAGCTGTGTATTCCTTGGAAAGAAGTTGAAATATGGGAAAAGTGCCTATCTGTCCAGATAATTGTGAAGATTAAACCAGATGGGGTATATGAACTGATAGTGGTGTCTGGAACTTGGTAGCCCCTTAACAAATGGTAAATATTATTTCATTACTATTATTACAAACAACAGTAAGTGGACAAAGAAATAAAAAAGAGTAGGTTAATGAAAGGGAGGATTTTAATTGGAGAGGATATTAATGGTATGATTTAATGTTACTTTAAGTATGCTTTAATAAAGAGCAAGAATAACAAAGAGTTTTCAATTAGAAATTCTCAATAAAAAAGACTAGTAATCATGATAATCAAATCCCACTTTTGTTAAGGCCAGGTGCCTAAAAGTTGCTTCCTATAATATTATTGCTTTTCATTGAGGTATGATGATATAAGATGGAGGGAATTAAGACAGTTCTTTAAATTACTTGACAATAGCCTGGAAGCCCCTTAAATCTTGATAAACCTTAAGTATTGTGGTAGAACAGGTAGGAAGGTCTAGTCAATAGCAAGGAAAATGACAAACATCTATGGCCTATTATTCAAATCCTTGAAAGCATATTTTTTCAGAGAGAAGATCTGTGACTTTAAGAGATGTTCTGATGTAGATTTATACTTCACTGCTAAAAAGATTATCTGAACCCTACTGAAACAATTTTACATGTGAAACTGTTAAGAAGTAACATGTATTTCATCTACAGGTCATAAATGTCTTTAATTCTTACTTTTGCAATATGCTATTTCCCTATAAACATTCTATAAATCTCTGATTGATGTTCCATTCAACATTTTAATAAAGTGTTTGCTTTCAAAAAAAAATGGTTGTCTGAGATACCTCAGGCTTTGACTTTGTCATTAGCACCTAGGTAAAAAAAAATGACTTGCCTAAGTACCCAAGGAAGGCACCAGTCATCGAATGTCATCTCCCCAAATTGCAAGTAAAAATAATTACAAGAATAATCTACATTCAAGAGGATAAGCCTAGCCAATTTAATCCTATTTTAGATATGGAAAATGCCATGCTTCCCATAAAGCTACCAGTTTCTGACCAAAATCATTTTAAATGTCAGGGGAAGGCTGCCATGTTATAAAATTGGCTACATTTCATCTTTTTTAAAAAAGCTCATCATGTCTAAACATGACAAAGAAAGCACTAGATTCTTTAAGGAGCTGACCCCAAACCACTACTTTGAAGCAAAAATCTCATTACTTCAGAACATAAGTTAAATGACCCAGGTCCCAAATCTAACTATAAAACTCAGTTTTTAAGCCAAACATAGCTTTTAATAACCTCTATAAAATAAGTTTACACATTACCTGGTAATTGTTTTGGTTTTGTGATAATCTCAATTGATTTGATGATGCAAAATGTGGAGAAAAATTACTCCGTGATGGATTTGTATTATTGTACATCGTACTAGATGCTGTATGTAATGAGGTCCGTGGTGTCAAATGGTAGTCTCTGTTTTGATACAGTACATTGTCTGACAAATCTCTGATATTCACCATTTGTGAATTTGGCATATTTCTTCCTGTTCCAGACAAAGTTGCACTTTGGTTCTCAGCTCGAAGGAAACTGCCACTTTCATAAAATCTTGAGTAGTTTGGTATCTGTGCTCCCATCGAAGCCAACTCTTCCTCTCTGGAATATTCATCCTCAGCATCTCCAGTCTCCATTGCAATAGACAAACAAGTTCCTTCTGCTGAGTTAGATTTCTGTGTGGCCTTTTCTCCCAGAATTTTCTGGGGATAGTCACTGACTGCCAGTGAAAACACTTCACGGATTTCCAGGTTTTGTGTTCTACAGTAAGGGTCTCTAATAGTTGGCTTTTGTCCACATAAGTTATGTGATGCCAGACCTGTATGTTCAGGCTTATATGACCTTTGAGTCCCAGCTGGTTCAATTTTGCAAGGTCGGTGGCACACAGATGGCTTTTGAGGTACTGTCATTTCAGAAGTTTGCACAGAAGAGCTTCCACAGTTTTTCTTTGTATGATTGTATACTGAATTGCCAGCATTTAGCACACTTGTCTGTCTTGACAAAATAATTGTTTTTTCACCCAGGAGCAGGGAGGCATTTTTACAGTGTGCAACTTGTCTTTGAACAGGAATATGCAACTGAAACTCAGTATCATTTTTACTGGCTGTTTTTTGAATAGGAATTTTATGTGCTTCTGTAATTTGTGTATTTGTATGTTTGGTTGTCCCTTGCCTACTTGATGAACTGGCCGGACTGTATATACCAGTTACAATGACATCATTATTGGCAGATGTCCAAGAAGACTGTTGGCTTGAGGGTCGAGCTATATTAACCACATTTCTGACTGTAATGTCTGGAGCTGCCAAAGCGGTACCAGAAACAGTTCCTGTTGTTCCTCCTGATTCAGAATTCTTACTACTCATTTTTCTTCGCTTATTACCAACCCACGTCTGAAAGGATAAAAAACGGTATTATGAAAAAGTTTAAGAACAAGAAAAAATAATTTCTAAGTGATAAATATTATTCTTATTTATCATAAGATCAAGACCTATGCAAAGGTTAATAAAAAGCTAACAATAAATGAGAAAGTAGCTAAACAGCTAATTAAGGACTCTCTGGATAAATATCTAGGAACTTTGAAAACAGACTATATTATTGTTCCTCTCCTCCACAAAACCTATCCAATTAATATATATCAAGAATTCTAAAAATGCTTATACCTTTTGACCTAATAAATACATTTCTAGGACTCTATTATAAAATGTAATAACAGATGTAGGCAAAATTTATATGTAAACATATAAATATATATTCATCATATATTTACAAATAATAGTAAAATATTGGGAGCATACTTTAATGTCAATAGAAAATGCTTTTTTTAAACATATATACATTTGCAATCATAAGGCTTAACAATTTATGTTGCACATATACGTAACTTTCTAATGTATACTGATAGCTATTTATAATATTTTTAGAAACATTCATTATTATAAGCCATATTGCAATAAAACTTATTTAAAATGTATCTTTTTTTCTTTTGGTTCATTAGAATGTAATTCTCGGATATTTGCTAAGGTCTGCTATTTTCCATTGCCCTAAAAATATGACTGTTCTGGTTTCCTCACACTCTCACTAAAGGTTTTCATTTTTTTTCTTTTTTTTTAGTCTTCACTAGTTTTGGAGTTAATAAAAGGTAAATAATTGCTGATTTGAATTGAGTTTCTATGGTTACTATATTACTTTGATAGAATTGCTCATTCATTTCCTTTACCTACTTTTATATTGGGGTATTTGTCATTTTGAAGTGATTTGTAAGAACAATTTTCTGCTAAAGATCGTAACACTTTGTCACACATTGCAATTGTATTTGCTTGTCATTAATTTATGATAGTGATTTTCTTCTTTACACTTTTCTCTACTTAGCAAGTTTTATACAATGAATATGTATTACTTCCATAAACAGAAAAAAGTTATTAATAAAAATAATGCCAGTGGTTGGCACTTAAGATTTGATTATAAAATGCATACTTTTATATAAGTAATTTATTATAATTACCTAGTATTATTGCATTGAGTCATGGTTCTTCTTAAAATATGCAATAAGAAACATTAAATTCCTTAATGTGATTATCAGACTCTGTAATTATTTCATAATGCATACCATATGATAAACTACCAAAACACATTAATCTCCTAAGAATTAAACAAAATAAATGAATAAATGAAAAAAATAAATGTACTAGTCTTGCAGAAATGTGGTGTAGATATATCTGGATAACTTTCCTATGATGTGCTCCAGAAAACCTCACAAATTATTGAATTTTCCAAGTTTATTTATATAATTTCTGATTATATACATAACATTAATGACACTGCAATGCTATAAATAAAAGCTAATATGTATTGATTCCCTTATGTGTTTTATTTATATATATACATATATGTACACATATATGTGTATTCATATATATGCATACACATACATACATATATATCTATATAGTATATATACACATATATAAATATATGTATATGAAGAAACTGAAGTTCAGAAAAATAAGTAGCTTGTGGAAGGACATCCTGCCAACAAGTACTAGAGAAAAGATTCAGTCAACCTCTACTTAACCTCAAAATATAATCCTCTTCCACTATCCCATGTGTAATGAGTAGAAACTACTAAAAGTTATCTCTGTTGTCTAATCTACTTTTGTAATTATTTTTTCCACAAAGAAAATGTTCTATAAAACACAATGATACTTTTTCTTTAACATAAGGTAGTGGAAATTTTAAACTGACTCTGATTTCCTTTCATAAAACAGTAGAAGCAAGAATTAGAGGTCAAAGGTCATATAAGTATAAATGTCACAGAAAACAAGTGAGAAAAACAAAAATATTTCAAAGTATATACTATAGAGAAATATATAAGGAAAAATATCTTTGGAAGATAAAATTCCCAGAAGGGTTAATTTTAAAAATATCCTAAATCAGCTTCAATGACATGGCTTTTCAAGTTAAGAAAAATGTGTGGAAAACATGACAGATTTGTACATAATTTTAACAAAAGTATACAAGCATTATATTGAAACATTTCAATGGGAGAGCACAGTGAACAGATAACATTTGGATTCAAGAACTCTTATATCTTGAGGGCAGCTCTGGCCATCTTTCAAAAAATCCATAACATACTATATTCTCATCACACATTAGCTAACTTAGGAAGTTCCAGAATGATCTTAATGCATTGCAAATTTATGGCTTCTATAATTTTGTAGGTTTACACATATAGAAGTATATTATGTATAGTTACATATGTGTTTTAGTAAATATTTATATTATGTGCCAATAAAGAAAATAAACTAGAATAATACCATGTACATATGAAACACAGCTATCTATCAACATAGATATCAATCTCACTTTCCACAACACAGACAATACAAGATGTAACAAGACCCATGTAATTCACTGATAGAAGAACCCCTAACCTTAGAATCCCCTTTCTATGAATTTATATGTAATTTGAAAAAACCTGGTATCCTATTTTACAGCAAATTAGAAACAACAAAATAGAAAGGGCATTGGTGGTAGAGGTGGTCAATGGTAGGCACCCTGATATCACTAAATTAGAAATGTTCACTATACATTACCCAGGAGAAAATAAAAAGGAAAACAAAATCAATGTAAGAAATCATTAAATAGCAGTTTGAGCTTCTTTAATAAAGGTGAAAATAATCCCACATACATGAACAAGTTTTGAGCATTATTATTTTATAGCACAGAATAATAATTGATTTCTATAATGAAAATCATGAGTCAAAAAGTAAATGTTCAATTACTTTCCTTATTTTTTACTGAAGAAAAGCACAAAACTATACACTTAAATAATCCCACATAAAATTGTTGACAGTAAGGAAAATGCATTGCCTGAGAGTTCCCAAAGATTTATTAAAGTTCACCAAAAGTTATAAGATCCAAAATTGACCATCCAAAATTGACTACTTATTAGATGTAGGTAATTCCTATTGTAAATGCCTCATTGTGAGAATGAAAAAAAAAACATGTTACATATATCAATAAAAGGAGAATTTTCAGTGAGGAACTAACAAAGCAACACTACATAGGGAAAAAATAAAATTTTAGTCACAATATTTGGTGTTCATAAAATTATCTTAGTTCTCAGAAATTCATATGTCTAAATCTCTTTTCCTTTTCCTATGCCTCATTCTTTGTTACCTTTTTTCTTTTCCCCATTATATTTATTTTTGCTTGGATGTTTTCACCTTTTATCTTTATTTTGGAATTAAATTCTTAATACAGTGGAACTTGAGTTCTTTTGAAAGATAAAAATACTCTATTAAAATAATAAAGACAGATGTCTTCCAAGTTAGTACATATAGACCAGGCAAAATATGGAAGGAGGAATTTTATTTTTTACTGGTGAATTTACTAACAAATCCCTTTACATTTGAATGGAAAAGTTATCAAAATTTGTTTTTGGATTTAGATTGGGAAGTCTGAGTTTATTTACTATTCTTATTCGCCTGGAATGGAATTAATAAATCTGTTTTACAGAATTCCTTCTACCTTATATAATATTATACTTGTAATCCTACATTTGGAGTATAAATATCTGTATCTCCACAATCAGTATTCAAGGACAATCAAGGTAATCATGAGGGGAATATTGTAATAACAAACTGGAAATACAAAGATAGCCCACAATGCAGCTGCCTGGGAAAGCTTTTCACTTTAATGTAATGCAAGATAAAGGGGGAAAAAAAGAAAATTACTATAGGAAAAAACAGAGTTTGTACTTATAAAATGAGATCTCATCAATCTGAAATATTTCCACATTACTTGTTAAAGGAATTAAACATTTTCCTCTGAAGTTTAGTAAAGGTAATTTTAAGCAGTGCATTTAGAGCAATAAATAGATTTATAGTTCTTACACAAATCTGAGAATGATGGATATTTTCCCTTAGAATTGGTGGCATAATTCCCTATTTGAAGGTGAGGATATCCTTCAGTCTTTAAGAAATATTTTCCAAAGAATTCTAAGTATCAAAAGATTTTTATCTCTAGGGTCTTTGAAGGTAATGGAACAGCAAAAATAAACTTAAAACAGAAGTCCTTTCTCTTCCCCAAATTACCCTATGTATGCCAAAGAAGAGAAAGTTGCTAATCATTGAATCACTAAGGTTTCAAGACAAGAGGATTTGTAGCATGTTTAAACAAACATGAAAGGACCTATGCATTCAATCAAATCCGTGACTAGTTCTGTTAGATTTATCTCTTGCTTCCTCTCTATCACATTCTCATTGCTTTTCATGAATGTGTAACAGCTCTGATTTTTTTTTACAGCTGAACAACTATGGTTGTGATAATTTCCTCCATTGGGATTTCTGTTCCTCACTTGCTAACCATCAAAGTGTGTTCATTTTATTTAGAATGAAAAATAATAGGTTTTCCTGAAAAGACAAAAATACTAAAGTCATAAAAGCCTGAAGAAAATTCAAACACAAAAACAACAAAAATATGTACACAGAATTCCCTTGGAAAATGATTTTTTCACTATCATTTGGGTGTTATGTCTAGATTAATTTGAGGATTAAAGGAAGTATAAGATCAATAAGCAATCTTAAATATATTTATTAGTTAAAAACTGAAATATTTAAAAGGTATGTATATACTACAAATTTATTAAAGTTATTATTGTTATACCAGGGAAATGAAGTTGTTTATAAAGTTAGTGACTTCATGCCCTGAATTGTTTTCTCATATTAAACAAATGTCACTTGAAATAAACAGCTATAAATTTGAGTGTAAGACCTCAATACTTACCCTGACTACACTGAAGTCCAGCTTAGTTTCCTGTGCACACTGTAATATGAGCTGAAAGCAATTTTTACTTTGATTTGTCATTCCATTTTCATAATAACGCTGTAAAATCCTTTGTTGTTCTACAGTAAATACAGAACGTAGATTCATCTAAAAATAAAAGAAGATACTCTGAAAATTGGAATAAAAATTTGGTATGTGTAACATTTGTACACTTCTCTTTTTTTGATACAATTTCAGTGCTTTCAAGCTGCAAATTTGTTTAAATGAATCAATTGCCAGTAATGGGCAGTAATTTGTGTGCTGAATGGGGACAGCTTCTCACTGAAATATATATATATATTCTCTCTCTCTCTCTCTCACACACATACACACACACTGAATTTGTTCATAAAAAGCACAAGCTTTAAAGACGAAAAGAAAAAAAGGAAAGCCCTTATCTGGCTAGTGTGCATAGGGGAAAAAGGGTTCTTTCACTGAAATAAATATTTATGGATAGTAAAGCCAGAGACGGTGGTAGCCATATGTGATATGTGGTCAATTATCAACAGGGACACTCACTGTTCTTTGTCAAGGGAGGCATCTGGCGTATGTCTTAGAATTAGAAGCTGTGCTCTGAAACAAAAGGTTGCTTTTGCTTTTATTTTCCCCTCTTTTTGGGATAAAGTGGTTCTTTTTATATATTACATCTAAAGCTCTTCTTAAAGCTTAAAAATAAATTGCAAAGTTTAGTGACTGTGAAAGTTTGGTCACTTTAGGCAACACTAACCAAAACAATTATTTTATAACTATAATATGCAAATAAAAACCCAAATTCATGTACATTTTAGTAAAAATAAACCATATAACAGTAATATTTAAATAACTGACACCCCTGAAACTAGACAAGTTAAAAAAAAAGGAGAAATAAAAAAAAATAGAAAACTTTATTTGTTCTTCCAGTAGAGAAGTATTTACTATCAATGGCAAAGAACTGTGAATCTTATAAATAAAAAGCAAGTCAAACTTTATTTTTTTATTAATTATGTCACTTCCTTTCTATAAAGAACACTTGCAATTTGATTAAAAGAATTTACCACCTTGGGAAAAGCAATCATACTGAAATTGGTACTCCTAAAAGTTGGTAGAAAGAAATCTTTGCTCAAGGAAAAGTGTTTTTTTTTTTTTAATTAGGAAAACAGCAACAATACAAACATGATAAGATCAACCAAACAGCTTTTTTTTCTAGTATACTACATAAGGATACGATAAAATACCCTGACATGGAAATAAAAATTATTTCCCTTCTTCTCAATACTTTGAACAGTGAAGCCATCTAATAAGGAAATTATAGATTCATACAGCAATACATTGCAATTTACACCCCTGACTTTTTTTTTTTCTTTCTCCAACAGGTACTTCCCTAACAAAAGTTAAAAGATCTGATTAGAGAAAAATTTTATGTAATAGAGGGCACAGGAATGAGTTGAGGGTTTCTCTCTGAAACATTCGGAACAGCAAGGTCTCCACTAATTTTCTGAAGACACAGAATAGTTACATTACTCCAAAAATTTCCCTTGTATGGCCTCTTTGTAATAGATCTCTCCAGTCATCCCAGCTCTTAGCAACCAATGATCTATTCCTACAATTTTGATTTTTCGATAATACCATATGAATGTGATCTTATAGTATATAGTCACCTGAGCATAAATTCTTTCACTCAGCATAGTGACCTGAGATTATCTGTGTTGTTTGGTGTTATCAGCAGTTTGCTCCATTTCATTGTATTTTTTTAAATATTTATTTCTTAGATTTAGGTGTATATTTCATTATATAAATATACCTGAATCCATTAAACCAAGGAAGGACATCTGGGCACTTTCAAGTACTTGGAAACTATGGATAAATCTGTTAGGAACATTTGCATAAAGTTTCATGTGTATAGGTAAGTAGTCATTTTCTTGAGTAAATACCTAGGAGTGGCATCACTGAGTCATATGTTAACTACATGTTTTAATTTATAAGATGATGAACTGTTTTTATTTTTATTTTATTAAATATTTTTAGTTATATATGGACACAATACCTTTATTTTATTTTCCAAGAGTTAATAACAAGAATCAACAAATGGGACTTACTTAAACTGAAAAGTGTTTTCTCAGCAAGAGAAACAATAAGAGAGGTAATAGGGAGCCTACATCATGGGAACAAATTTTTACTCCTCACACTTCAGATAGAGCCCTAATATCCAGAGTATACAAAGAACTCAAAAAATTAAACAATAAGAAAACAAATAACCCAATCAACAAATGGGCCAAGGACCTGAACAGACACTTCTCAGAGGAGGACATACAATCAATCAATAAGTACATGAAAAAATGCTCACCATCTCTAGCAGTCAGAGAAATGCAAATCAAAACCACCCTAAGATACCATCTCACTCCAGTAAGATTGGCAGCCATTATGAAGTCAAACAACAAGTGCTGGCAAGGATGTAGGGAAAAGGGTACACTTGCACATTGCTGGTGGGACTGAAAATTGGTGCAGCCAATTTGGAAAGCAGTATGGAGATTCCTGGGAAAGATGGGAATGGAACCACCATTTGACCCAGCTATTACCCTTCTCGGACTATTCCCTAAAGACCTTAAAAGAGCGTACTACAGGGATACTGCCACATCGATGTTCATAGCAGCACAATTCACAATTGCTAGACTGTGGAACCAACCCAGATGCCCTTCAATAGATGAATGGATTAAAAAAATGTGGCATTTATACACAATGGAGTATTACGCAGCACTAAAAAATGACAAAATCATGGAATTTGCAGGGAAATGGATGGCACTAGAGCAGATTATGCTTAGTGAAGCTAGCCAATCCCTAAAAAACAAATACCAAAAGTCTTCTTTGATATAATGAGAGCAACTAAGAACAGAGCAGGGAGGAAGAGCAGGAAGAAAAGATTAACATTAAACAGAGACATGAGATGGGAGGGAAAGGGAGAGAAAAGGGAAATTGCATGGTAATGGAGGGAGACCCTCATTGTTATACAAAATTACATATAAGAGGTTGTGAAGGGAATGGGAAAATAATCAAGGAGAGAAATGAATTACAGTAGATGGGGTAGAGAGAGAAGATGGGAGGGGAGGGGAGGGGGGATAGTAGAGGATAGGAAAGGTAGCAGAATACAACAGTTACTAATATGGCATTATGTAAAAATGTGGATGTGTAACCAATGTGATTCTGCAATCTGTATTTGGGGTAAAATTGGGAGTTCATACCAACTTGAATCTAATGTATGAAATATGATATGTCAAGAGCTTTGTAATGTTTTGAACAACCAATAAAAAATAATTTATATCAATAAAAAAAGAAATATAATAAGAAAATATTTCTTCCTTCTATGGTTTGTATTTTATTTTATTTACAATGTATTTCACAGAGTTTTTACTTTTTATAAAACACATTTACTTTTATTTTCTTTTTATAGATTGTGCTTTTTTAATGGATTTTGTTCAATTTTGATTATTTTCCAACAGTTTCATTCCCATATGAAATATGGAATCATTTTGTCAATGCCTGCAAAAAATCCTGCTAGGATTATATTAGAGATTGTATTTACTGCATTGAATGTAGATTGGGTTAGGAAGAATGGGCATCTTAACAATCTTAGTTCTTCTGATTCCTTAACATATCTAATTGTTTAGATCCTTGAGTTTTCACCAGATATTTATAGTTTTCAACACAGAGATTGATCCAACACATTCTGTTAAATTTAGGGACCTATGTATTTTTTTGTTTGTTTGTTTTTTTGCAGGGTGCTATTTTAAATGGCATTTTTAAAAGATCACCAATTGTTCATTCCTAGTTTATCAACATATAATTCATTTGGATATATTGAATTAATGTTCTGAAACTTTGCAAACTCACATATTGGTTCCAGAAGCTTTTGGTTTGGTTCTTTGGTATTTTCTACACAATCAGGATATACACAAATAAAGATAGTCTTATTTCTTCTTTTCTCATATCCATGCATTTTTCCCCCTGTATGGTGCTTCACAGCAGTATCTAGGATCTACAGGTTCTTGTCTTAATAAAAGTGATCATTCTTGCCTTGTTCTTGATTTTTAGAGGGAGGGATTAATTTTTTCACTATTAAGTGTGATGTTAGCTATAGGTTTTTCAGAGTTGCCCTTTACCAGGTTAAGTTCCCTTTTATTTTTATTAAACCAAGAGTTTTTATTATTACTAGAGTTATTCTTACCATGAGTGGATGGTAAATTTTGTTAAATTATTTTTCTTAATCTGTAGTGATTATTATATAATTTCTGTTCTTTAATATTTTGATGTGATAATATATGCTAATTGATATTCAAATAGTGAAGCAACCTTTCATTTCTTCTCCTATTCCTGGAATAAACTTTACTTAGTGTTAATGAATTTTATTTTTTATACATCACTTGAGTTGATTTGTAAATAGTTTGTTCAGGATTTTTTGATATGTGGTACTGGGGATTAAATCCAGACATTTTATCGGTGAGCTACATACCCAACTCCTTTAAAAAAAAAAAAAAAAAATATATATATATATATATATATATATATATATATATATATATATATTTATATATATTAGTTGTAGTTGGACGCAATACCTTTGTTTTATTTTATTTATATTTTTGTGGTGCTGAGGATTGAACCCAGGCCCTCACATGTGTTAGGCAAGCGATCTACCACTGAGCCACAACCCCAGCCCCCGCCCCCCCCCAAGTGCTTTTTAAAAATTTTATTGGGACAGGGTCTAAGTTGGCAAGGCTGCCCTCAAAGACATAATCCTACTGCCATAGCCTTCTGAGATGTTATGATTACAGGTGTGTGCCACCTTGCCCAACTTCTTCACAATTTTTAAAACTATATTTGTGAGGGATATTTTACTATCATTTTTTTTTCTTGTACTGTATTTGGTACTAGAGTAATGAGTAGATTTCCTAATTATATATCCTAGAGAATATAATATAGAATTGCTACTTTTTTTCTTCAAATCTTTGTTATAAATCCCCAATGAAGTCATCTGAACATAAAGTTTTCTTTGCTGGAAAGTTTTAAATTACAAATCACTTCTGTATTATTCAAATTATTTCATATTGAGTGAGTTTTAATAGTTTGTATCTTTCAAGGAATT